TGATGCGACTGCTTATTTTCTTGACGAGGCAAGAGGAGGCAGCAAACACTGAACACTGGCGGTTGCAAACCGCGCTTTTACAAGCGGGCAGACTGCACTCTTGATAAGACCGTTTAGTGCGGGCCATGTCGGGTTGCGGGGGCGGCTATGCCAAATTCCTGGAGCATGTCTTTGCCTGACTTCCGCACGCGCTCCCAGACGGAAGTGCGAGCGCTGTCTAGGATGGTGTCGCGCATGTCAGGCCACAGGCCGTCGCAACACTGGGTGTTTCCTGAAGAAAAAACTAACTCGGTGCGACCGTTCGGGCGCACGGCGCGCACGCGGTCGGCGACGGCCCCCTGCTCGGCACCGTGGGACACGATGTAGCGCAACACTTTCACGTTTTTGTGGTGAGCATTGAATCGCTCTGCGCTTGAGCGAGGGGGGCCCTTGCCTTTGTCGTTGAACGCAGCGCGGGCTTTCGGTGCCACGGACTGGTACGCGCCTGCGCCGTGAGATAAAAGCGGGAAGTTCTCAGGCACGAGAACCCAAATGAGGAGGATCTCGTCACGTTCGGGCCCGATCCCCGAGCAGCACAGGCGCGCTGGGGCAGCTCGACAACCATCGCCAACTGCCGCTGCCCCCATAAGAAATACGCACATACACGGGCGATGCGATATCCGGTATCGCTCATGGGGGTGGTCGCCGCACGTCTTATCTGACCCGCCCGACTGGCCAGGCGCGCGGCGAGCGCGCATTGCAGACTCGCTGGCCTCGGCGAGGCGCCCACGAGACCATTTTAAATCATGTTGCTCGGCCTGGGCAGCGCGAGCGCACGCGGCCCGCATTGCCCTCCCTGGCGACGCGCTGGGCTACGTTATTCGGCGGCCCCGCCTGCGCCGTCAGTTCGCCCGACGACTCGCAGCTCGAGGCGCGCCGGGTCGCTGCGCGCTGCGCGGGCGATGGCGAGGAGAGCGCGGGTGGATTCCACTGGGCCCTGGTTGAACAATTCATTTAAGGGGCCTTCGGGCCGAGTGTCGACTCGCGCCTATGGCAGTCCAAGGTGGAGCAGCGCCAGACAGGATAATCTACCCGAGTAACGCTGAGGTCCGCCGCCTGAGCGGTCTTGCCCGACCAGACCAGCTGATCCAAAGTTGGAAGTGCAGCGCGCCGCGCCGGCGCGCCGACAATTCGCTCCCCCCCCCCAGACCTGGCAGCGCGCCAATCTCGATCGTGGCGCGCGGGCGATGCTCGGGGCTGATGCGCGCCAAGTCGATCAAGGCTACCCCGTGGGACGCGGGCTGCTCGGCGGCGCGAGGGCGATCAGATCGGCCATGCTTCGGAGGGGCGCAGGACGAACCAGGCGCCTCTGTTGTCTTTGTCTCCCTGCCCTTTATCATTATCGTGCTCTCGCCGAGTTCGCCCTCCTTCGCCAGCGTCACTCTGCGCGCGCTGGGGAACTTCCCGGACGGGGGAGTTGCGCGGGCGGGCCTTCTTCCCAGCCTAGCTTTTCCAGACGATGGGCCCGCTCGCGCGCGTCCGCCTCGGAGGCCGCGCCGGCGCGAGGAAGGGCGATCGGGGGGCGGCGCGCGCGGCGGGCGCGGGGCGAGCCGATCGCCGAATTTAACCACGCGCGCCGTGCAAAGAGCCGCGAGCATGGCGACGGGATGCGCGGCATCTGCAGGCGCGCGCAAGATCGCGGCAAGAGATGCTGCTACTTGTTTTAGCAAGTGGAACTTTATCACTGCAAAGCCCCGCCCCGTTCACCGGCGCAGATATCTTCCGCCGCGCGCGAAGTCTGTCTCGCGCGCGCCCCCGCCGGCGCCCGAGCGGTTGCGCGCGGCCAGGGGGCGCGCGTCAGAGGGCCATCCCGCGCGCGGCTGCGCGAGGGGCGGGGGGGCGACGGCGCGTCGCCGGCGTCGCCGACGTGGGCGACCAGAACCTGCCGCCAGTCGCACGTCGCGCTCCTCGGCCGCGAGGGCGACCAGGCGCATCGCCCGGAAGAAGGAAGAAGGCAATCACTCTCGCCCACAGGCGCCAACAGGCACTTCTCCTTCTCCCCGTCACCCACCTGCCCCCCTCCCTCTTCCATTTCCTTCTACTTCCATCTCCTATTGTAGCTATGCGACAGTCGCCCGTGGACGCATCGACTCAAAGCGCCAGTCCCAGGGGGGCCCGCGGGCGCTTTTATCCCGAGAACAGCTCCCTGCATTTCGGCCTGGCCTTCCTCGGGCTGGAGCCCCGCGGCAGCGCGCGGGGCCGCCCCCCCCGCCCATCTGCGTCGGCGCCCGAGGGCAAACGGCGGAGCTCTCCGTTCCTTCGGGCACTAGTGCGGCCAGGACATGCCAGACATATGAGCTCCACTCCGAGGGCGGCGGCAGTGACAGCGAAGGGCGGAACTCGCGCGCGACTAAGAGCGGAGGCAGCGGGCGTTCTCGTCGCGAGAAGCGATGCGCTGGCCCACCTGGCCCCCGCGCCCATCGAGACGACGACGCGCGCGGCGCTGATCGCAGGGGCCCTCGCCGCCCTCGTGATGGCCATCGGCGCGCAAAAGGTGATGGCCCTCGTGGCCGCTCAGCTTGCGATGGGCGGGGCGGGGCCGGTCTTGCCCCCCGCGCATCCCATCGCGGCCCTGGAGGCGACGCAGGCCGTCTTCCCGCGGGCCCGGCTCGGCGAGCCCGACTTGCAGCTGAACTGGGAGAAGCGCCCACCTTCCCTGACGAGGAGATCGACCATCCCATGCCTCGCGCTGCAGAACCATCGGGCGCCTGGGCGGTGGCCGCAGAGGGGGCCAGGCTTCCGCGCGGCCCCTCCCCCGCGCTGGCGCCGGCCCAGCGGCGCCCCGCGCGGCGCGGGGTCGGCCGGCCAGGGCGACAGCCTCATCGGGCACTTCGACTCGCCCCAGACACCTCTGGCAACCAGCACGGCCGCCCGCGCGTCGGACCCCCGCTCGAAGCTATCGGCGGACATGGCCCAGCAGCAGGCCACCTCCGCTCAGAAGTTCACGGCGCAGCGCTTCGCCGAGATTGCTGAGAACAGGGCGCCATCGCCGAAGAAATGCATCACATATTCGCTCGCAATGAGGATCGGCCCGCCGGAGCCGGGAACAGGGCGGGCGAGCGCGGCGCCCTCGCGCAGGAGCTGGGACCCCTCCGACGTGAGATGGCGATGGTCAAGTGCCCCAGGCCGCCCATGCCTGCGCCGTCGACGCGGCGGGATCGGGCGGTCGATCCGTCGGCGGCCGCGGCCGGCGCGCGCGGGCCCATCCCCGAGGCCGCCCCCGCGCCAGCGCCGGCGGAGGCGGCGCGCGACTCCGACCCCTCGCTCGAGCATTTCCTCAAGGTCGAAGATGGGGAGACGGGGTCCACGTTCGTGCTCAGGTTCCAGAGGGCTGCTGAGTCTGCTTCCACACGGGCTCAGAAGCTCCTCCAGGGATCGCGGCGCAGGCCCCCATGGGGGCCCAGATCAACGCGCCGGCTGGCCCAGAGAGGAATCGCAAGATGGTGGCTCGCAAGCTGCTCATCAAGAAGATTCAGCGTGCCCTGGCCCGCGGCTGTGATCTGATCTCTGGGACTACGTCGTGGGGGGTGGGAGGGGCGCGGCGGCGCGCGGCCCCATCGAGCCCGAGACGGCAGAGTGGCGTCCTCAGCCAGTTCGAGAAGAGGCGGGAAGGACCGAGACCATTGAGTCTCATCTCCTGGAACACCCGCGCCCTGCGCAACTACGAGGCGCGCAACGTCAAGTCTAATCCTGGGCGCGGGGGAAACAATGGCCCCCCACCAACTCGGTCTGCGCCCTTCACGGGGGACCAAGGCTCTGAGGTTCGGGTGCGCGAGCTGCCCAGGAGACCCGAGCAGTCATGTCAAGCCGTTTGCTGCTATCTTGACGAGGGAGGGCGGGGAGCTGCAGGTGGCGCCGCCGCTGTGCTCCACGCGCACGCGAGTGGCGAGATTCAGTCATGCGAGCCAGCGGCCACGGTTCCTGGTCGCGTCCTCCGCGCAAGGGCAGGTGTTGATGAGCAAGGGCCTGGGCAATGCATGATCCACTGGGATGTCCATTTCTTGGGATTACCGCTCGGGCTATGTGGCGCGTCGTAGACCAGATAGCGACCGACCCCGCGCGGTCTCGCGACGTTCTGTCCACGCGGCTGGTCGTCGCCTGCGGCGACTTCAATGATGGTGAGCGCGTCGACTCCACGGACTTCAATCCCCTGGGGCACGCTGCCTCGGGCGCGAGGCTGCGCTCACATCCTGGCTCGAGGGCCCCGCGGGCGGCCACCAAGTCCATGGTCGAGCATGCCCCTCCTGGCCCGACGCGCTGGAATGAGGGTCAATGGGGTCAGCTCGCGCATCGATCGGGCCCGCGCGCGGATGCCGGAGCGGATGTTCAACCAGATGCGAGTGCCTTTCAATTTGGGGGTGAGCCGCAGGAGCTGCGCGCTTCGAAGATCAGTAGCCACTCGGCGGTGGCGGCGGAGCTTTCGCGCCGCGGGGCCAAGCGCCGACGCGGCGGCCCCCATCGGCCAATTCCCTCTTCATGGACGAGAAGGCCAAGATGCTGATATCGCAGTGGTCTGACGTCACCTAGCTTGACCAGCTGTCGGCCACTGGGCGGCGCAAGCTCTACTCGCGAGTCCAACGCGTTGGTGTTGAAGTTCTGGATGCGAGATCGAGGAGCTCGGCCTGGGCCCCGTCGGCGAACGCGACGATGCAACGACGGACCGGAAGAGCTGCGTGGAGACAGGATGCCCGGTTGGCGTGCCTCCCCCTCGCCCAGAACGCGTGGCTCGACGAGGCGACGGGGGTGTCCGAGGGCGGCGGGGCCTCGATCTCGGCGCCACCCGAGCGCAAGAGGAGGCGCGACGAGGCGCATGGGAAGGAGGTCAGCAAGAGAAAAGCGATGGCGGAGGAGACGGCGGCGAAGGCAACGGTAGAAAGTGAGCGACGACGGTTTCGAGACCAGCAGCGTGTCCTTTTGCGCCGTTCTGCTCTCTGGCCCCCCTTCGACCCGCGGCGGCACCTGGCAGGGGTGGGCACGAAAGACGGGGCCGCCACGACCCATGCTGGCCGCGCGACCCCCCTGGCTGGCCACGGGGCGCACGCGTTCGCGCTGGCGGAGGTCTCCGTGCCCCAGCAGGGCCCTGAGCGGACGGCCCAGCGCGAGGCCCTCATCGGCAGGTTCTGTAAGGAAGTATGGCATGCCCACGTTCGACGGGGACCTCCTCCTTCCCCTTTGTTGCACGATGTGGAAGGAGCCCTGGCGATGGCGCGGCGCGCAGCTCCCGGGGTTGATGGGCTACCTCTCACATCGCTTGGCGCGCTGGCCCTGCTCGCGCGGGCGCGCATTTCTAGCTTCGACAAGGCGGCCGCGCGACGGGCCCCCATGCGGGCGGACTTACACGAATTGATTGCAGCATTTCTCCCCGAAGAGGTCGAGGAGGTGGCGGAGGTCCAGACCCTCGCCCGCGCGCTCAAGAAGAGACGGCCGTTCTCGATTCGGAGCACAGTGCCGAAGGTGATGTCAGCGGTGATCAGCCGGAAGTTGGCCAGGCCGGTGGCGGAGGCAGCGGCCGAGTCAAAACGGGGTTTCGTCAAGGGGGATCTGATTGGAGAGCGCGGCGGAGTTGGCTGGCGCCGGCAGGCCCGCGAACGTGGCGGCGCGGCATCGCGTCGTGAGCGACGCGCGCCCACAGCGCGGGGCCTCCCGCCAGCGCTGTTGCAGGGGTCAGCCTTCGGCCGGGGTTGATCCACACCAAAGTGTCCAGGGATTCGCGCGGGCTCGGGGCGAACATATGGTGCTCGAGGGGCTGAAAGTCGACCCCAGGAAGGTCCACGACCCTGTCTTGTGGAGCTTCGACTTCTACCAGGCGCTCCCGTCCCTAGCGCAGGATGATTTGTGGCAAGCGCTGGGCAAGCGGTTGGTGCCTAGCAGGGTGTCGGATGCTTGACGGCCTCAAGGCCCTGTGCAGGATGGCGGCGGCAGCCCATTCGGACAGCAGCACGCGCGCCCGTTGTATCATTTTCGCGGGCGCGATGGGCGGGGATCTGAGCAGCGGTTTTTTGTTTGTCATCGCGGCCCAGTCCTTTTGTGCAGGCGATGGAGACAGAGATCGAGCGGAAGGGGACTTGTCTTGCCAGCTGGTGCCCGGATGATTGCGGAGTGGTGTCGTTCTGCCAGAAAGCCTCCATGGCCATGAAGTGGATCTTCAAATTGGCTGGCATCATGACGAGGCTGGGTCCCCAGCCCAGCAAGTATGTAACCACGAAACGCCGTACTGGGTGGCGCGGGACGCATGTAGTCACAGCCGCTGGGACCTTCGGTGGGGCTCCCAATGATGCCACGAAACGCAGTATTGGGTGGCGCGGGGCGCATGTGGTCACAGCCACTGGGGCCTTCTGGGGGGGCTCCTTATTATGGGGCCACGAAGTTCCGTACTGGGTGGCGTGGGACGCATGTGGTCACAGTCATTGGGGCTTTCGGTGGAGCTTTCTATATGGGGCCACGAAAGGCCGTAGTGGGTGGCGCGAGACGCATGTAGTAACAGCCATTGGGGCCGTCGGTGGAGCTCCTTATGGGGCCACGAAACGTGGTAGTGGGTGGCGCGGGACGCATGTGGTCACAACCACTGAGGCCTTCGGCGGAACTCCCTATGGAGCCACGAAGCGCCGCACTGGGTTGCGCGGGACGTATGCGGTCACAGCCACTGGGGCCTCCGGGGAGCTCCCCATGGGGCTACAAAGCGTTGTATTGGGTGCGCTGAAATGGTGGAGGAGCTTCCGACCGCCGTCAGTCAGAGGAGCAATAAGTCTTGCGCAGGAGTTCCTGGACCGCATTTTGAGCCAATCGCATCGTGAGATCCTGCTCGTACGAGTCATGTCGGGTGTTGTCAAGCGAGTCCCTAGCCCAAGGTGCCCCCACGTTTCCCAAGGAGGTCCCACGGCCTCCCAGAGCACCATATCATAAGGCCCAGAGGGGCTCCCGAGCGGCGCGGAAGGCTGAGGGCGCTTTCGGCCACTCCACCTCATGTTGATGTTCGCGCAGTGTACTCCAAGGCTCCAGGCTTGCGGTCATGGACGTCTGGAGTGTCCGCTCACCGATTGCCACTGTTCGCCGTCGTCGGTTACGAACAAAAGCTCTCGGCCAGGGGCACCCTTCAGCGACCCTCGGATCCGAGGAGGAGGAGGAGGAGGAGGAGGAGGAGGAGGAGGAGGAGTTGGGTCAGAAGGTGGTGGAGGAGGAGGAGGAGGAGGAGGAGGAGAAAGAGGATAAGAAGGATTAGGAGGAGGAGGATGAAGAGGAGAAGGAGGAGGAATAGAAATACGGAGAAGCACGCCCCGCTCCGCTCCCCGGCCGCCCACGGCCGGGCGCGGATCCCTGCGGCCCGCTGGCCGCGCGCGGCGCGGCCAGGCCCTCAACGTGGACGTGGCGCGCCTCTCGAGGCTCGGCGAGGCCCGCCTGGGCGGGGTCCTGGGCACCGAGGGCCACGACGCGGCGGCCGAGCAGGAGAGCTACGAGTGCAAGGCCCCGGGGGGGCGGGCGCTCGGCCCGCCCCGCCTCCCCTCTCGCGGGGGGGGGGGTCCCAGGAGAGGGGGGCGGGGGAGGAGCTGCTGTGGGCGGTCGGGGCTGCGCTCTTCGGCCACGCGCGGCCGTGGCCCTTCGCCGGAGTGGCATCGGGGTGCCGGGCCCCCACGTGCCCCCTCGGTACTGGATTGCGTAGGCTGGGATGTGGCCCTCCCGCGGCCCCCTGAAGCCGCGCGTCATTCCCACCGAGGGTCACCCACGCGTGCAATTACAGTCGGCCCAGGTTAGGATGTCGACCCTGCCAAGTCAAGGGTACCCTTGTGTCCTGCCTTTAGAGGCCCGTGCCTTCTAAATGCATGTGGCAATGTAGCCCTCGGAAGGGTCTTGTGTCCTCTCGCGTGTCCTGCCCAATGAAGTCCGACTGTAGCCGATGTTGGCCCCAGGGTGCTTTCCAGCAGCCGCGACTCGTCGAGAGAGCTCGTTGCGGGTGCCCGAGTCGTCCCGCAGGGCCGCCCGAGGCCAGAGGTGTGGGCCGAGAACCAGCAGGCGTCCACGAGGGGGGTGAGGACTAGGAGCGAACCTGGTTTTCCAAAATGGTTTCATCGCGCAATGCACCGTGAAAAAACAGAAGAGGAGGAGGAGGAGGAGGACAACGAGGAAAAGGAGGAGGATGAGGAAGGAGGAAGGGCAGCAGCAGCAGCAGCAGCAGCAGGAGGAGGAGCAGGAGGACCAGGTGAAGGCAGATGAGGGGAAAGGAGGCGGACGGCAGCGACGAGGAAGAACTAGGATCCAGAAGTGTGGCCCGTGCCGAGGCGAGAGCGCCAGTCTGAGTTATGGTAGCAAAGCGCCGGTCCTGAAGTGCGGCCAACGCTTCAGCGGGAGCACACTGTTTGAATGGCCGAGAGCGTTGTGAACGTAAAGCTGTATCGAAAGCCAGCTCGGACCCACCCTGCGCGCGAGAGAACACAGTCTACTATATAATTGCTCTCACCCCGAATTTCGGCCAGGCTCGCATCGCAGAACAGACGTGGAGCACAGCTGGATGCTTCAGCTTAGCGTCCGTTTCCCGTGTCACCCTCCAACAAAAACGCAGCTCCCGATCCAGCACGACATCATGGGAGAGAGGAGGAGTACTCATATGGAGTATCTGTGGAGGGACCTGAGCTGTGAGGGAGTAGGAGGAGGATGGGCGGGTCGGAGAGACAGAGAGAGAGAGAGAGAGAAACAAAAAAAGAGGGAGAGAGCGACAGAGAGAGCAAGGGAAGGGGACGGGAGGGGTAGGGGTTGGAGGGACGGATAGGGGAAAAAGGATAGGGATGCGAAGTGGCTGGGACACTCGACTTCATGATACGTTTGCGACGTGGCCCCCACACTTCTCGACGTTATAGTCTGAAACGTTTTCTGACAGCCCCTGGGCTTAGAAACGAATCCAGACGCCAAATGTGGAGATACGAAAACAAATAAGGGCAATACAACATGGCAGTGTAAATTAATATTTAGATATACACACCTGTATCGCGGTAATGGGCACCTAGGCAGGACATCTGCTCACGAAGATTACGTTCAGACTATGGTTTTGATAGCGCCCCCCAGGCTCCGCATGTTCAGTTTCTGGGACCCCTCAGGGCTCCAAGTCACACAAGGGAGCGGCCAGAAGCGCCCATGACGGACCGAAAGCGTCCCAGGAGACCGCGTTGGCGGCTTCAGAGATCTCCAGGACGACGATAGAGGCCCCAAGATCCCAGAGAAGGCCCCTCACGGTCTCCAAAAGAGTCCTCCAGTCACGCTGAATTGCGGGCCCAGACAGCCGAAGACATTGAAACACAATGGTTGCCCTACATCTTCTGGACGGCCCCAACACGCCCCAACAGAGCTTCCGTAGGGGATAACGAGGGCTAAGAACGCTCCAAGATTGTGGTGCATCAGAGCGTCTCCGTAGCCATTTTGGCTCAAGTCGCAGCTTTGGCTCACGCCGAATTTGGGCTCACAAAGCGTGCTTATATGTGGTAGCGTTCATTCAACCAGTTTTGCCGCGCAAGCGGAAGTTAGTACTCGGCAGGAGGTTGGTGCGGGCTGCACACGGTGACCAGGTCCAGGTGTACATCAATCTGAAGCATGTATAAGTCGCAACGGCAAGCTGTGGCATTCTAGAAGCTGTTTGCCATACATCGATAGATACATCAATGTTGGGCGTGCACGCAATTTTGAAATTCTCAATTAGCAGACCAGTAAGGACTTTGAAGTTTTCGGCAATTGTGCGATCTCGGTGCAAGCTGTCTTTTCAGTCATCAGATTTTGAGGGTGCTTTTGTTTTCAATTCGCCAGGGTTCATTGCATACTCAAGTTCTCCATTAGCCACGTTGTCTTCAAAAACAAGTGGCGAGGTACTGGCGACGCTAACCCGTAGTTTCCTTGCGGAACGGCATCCTTCATCTCAGTTGCTTGATTGCGTTCCCGGTTTTTGCGCCAATGGTGTACGAAGGGGTGTGAAGAATGGCGTGTATGATTGGTTGATGGACGGACAACGGGTGGAATGCAAGAGTGGCCGAATGCAGTGGAAGCAGAACCGGTGGGTGCTCCAGTTTGCAAATATCAAGTGGCGTTGCGAACAGTCGGTTTGTGGTCAGGCGTTTGATCGGTTGTTCTTAGTGTTTAACCATCCAACACATTTGTGCATCTACGAGCACAGTCAAACGGGGTTTGCAAATTCTAGGAAACGTCGTGATATCGTCTTTTGTGGACCGAGGTGGGGTGATTGTTGGGCAGATGCTTCGGCCTCCATCACCGAGAAGCTCCAGAAACAGGGTTCCCTGATCACGCAGATCCCACTATCAGATCCCCGGGTCAAAGCAGCGATACTTGCACATCAGTGCGAGAAGATGCGAATGGTTTACCTTGGGGTGCCTCTCTCAGATTGCGGATCTGCGTCAAGAGGTTTGCGTATCCAGCGCATCGTTCGGGCGGTTGATGGGATGGTACATGCAGGGGCTGATATTGCGAATCCACAGGATGGTTTCTGTGTGAATGGTGCGCGCCGGGGTGTTCACAGGGCGATGTACGATTGGGCTCGCGGACGTGTGCGTGTTGAGTGCAAGAGCGCTCAACTGTCGTGGGACAAAGCTAGACAGTGTTGGATGTTCGCGTTCCGAAACATTAAATCACGGGCCGCATTTGACGAGTTGCTCCTCACACTGTATAGCCCACGTGGCATACACATTTACCGCCACGATCTGGCATTTCGCCTAAGTCGTGGCAGTGCCGATCGCCAGATCTATCTGCTTGCGCCGCGGAGCGTACCCGTCTGGCCTCAGGCTCTTGATCGTATTCTTGATATGCTTGATAGTTCTGAGTGCCAACCTGTGGCGTTTGTTTCCTGGTCGAACGGAGCCGTAAAACAAAAAAATGTGCATCAGAGCGTCCAGAGCGCACCATGACGGCCCCAGATAGCCATCAGTTTGCCCCGAGACGCCCTCAGACAGCCGAGAAGGGCTCAAGAAGTTCCCAAGAGGCCCTCAAGACGGTCCAACACACACCCCAGAGAGTTTTCAGACACCATCAGAGTGCCCCGCAATTAAGGTCCGTGGCGGAGGAACGCAATAACGCTACCGTTCATGTTTTTGTTCTGACCCGCAACCCAGGCCCCATCAACTCTCAAGAGAGACATGTCAGCGCAGCCCTCCCAGTATGCACCCGACCAGCGTTCCGGCACTTGGAAGCCCCGGAAGTTCGGTTGCCCTTGTCCTTATTCTTTTCTTCTTCCACTTCCTCCCCCTTGCAGCTGAATGTCATTCATTCCCACTATCGTTGCTCTCATCTCGTACATCGGAGGGGTGCTTCTGAGATCGCACATATGAGGAGGAACAGGCTGAGGGTGAGGACAAAGGCGAAGAGAGAGGACTTATGGAGATTCGGAGGAAGGGGGGGAAAAGGAGGAGGAAGAGCTGCAGAAGAAGGCCGAGGAGGAGATGCTGAGGAAGAACACGAGGGGACGGTGACGGCGGAGGAGCTGGGCACCCGCCCAATGAGCATGGGGAGCAGGAGAAGGGATAGGAACAGGTAAGGTAAGGCGCTTCGGACGGCTTCCTTCCTGCTCTAGCTCGAGCGCCAGACGCGCTCGGGCTATACTTTGCATAGCCATCAGCGTGAGATATGGAGCGGGGGGCCTCTGCTCCTGATGAGGCCTGCCCATGCGACCTCCGCCCGAGTACCTCGGGGGGGGGGGCAAGACGGCGGCGGGGCTCCTGCCCGCCTCTAGTCGACCGATCTGCGCCGCACTCCCTGCCTGATCCCGATGGGGGGCGCTCTGGCCCTCCAAGAGAATCGGGACGGTCGTGCTTTGCATATCCGTCCATTACTCTCGCGGAGGCGGCTGCTGCTGGCCCCGTTGGCGAGCAGCTGCCGCGAGGGGCACTGGTCAGGCTCTCTCGTGCGAGCGAGGGGGGAGGGGAGGCGAGGGACGACTCACGAGGAGGAAAGCAGAGGGGACGAAGCGGACAGAAGCGATGACCTCTCGTGCTGCCAGCTCTGAATGCAGGCCCAGCCAGCGTTAAAACTGTTAAAGCAGTTTTCCGTCTGATCGACCCAGAAGCAGCGGGCATCGAGGAAAAAGCCGGTCTTAAGTAACCTTTCCTCGGCGCGCGCCTGGAGGGCGGAACTAGACAGACAGGGCGGCCGCGAGCTAGCTACTCATCTGAGGCCCAGCTCTTCGACGTAGTTGATCTCGTCGGGCCACGGGCCGACGAGCGATTTGTCCTCTGTCTGGATCTGGTTGAGGCCGTACCTCAGGCTCATCACTGCATTCGCGAGGATCAGTCGCTGGCTCGTCAGCTTCCTGATGACTTCCTGGCGCTCTAGCATCTCCTCCTGTTCCATGACCACTGGAGCCGATAGCCTCTCGAGCGACAGGTTTATGAGCGTCTGCTGCCTTATGATCGCTGAGATGATGCCATTCAGCGGGTCGATCAGCTCGTCGAGCACTGGCCTCGTAGACCTCAGCCTGC